TTTTTTTTTTTTCATCACCCTGCTAGAGGGCCAGTATCAGGGCTCTGCTGTGTGTTTGAATTCTGGGGACAGCCTCATGTCATGCATTCAATGCTGCCAATGGAAAGGAGTGTGTAACTAGGCTGGGGAACACTGTTCAGGGGTCACCTATGGGGTGTGGGCAGGAAATCTTTCAAGGGACCCCTCACCTGGCTTTGCTGGGTTCCAGAAGCCTGATACCATGTCCTTTGCATTCTCATTGCCATTTCAATGATGAGGAAATAGAGTCTCAGAAACATTAAGTAACTTGCCCAAGGCCACACACCAAGTGACAAATATGGCTTAAGCAACTGTTGTCCTGCTGGCATAAGCATGTGGCCTTATACATGAAGTATCTGGCATGGAGAGGCCACCACCAGTGTCCTTCCTGTCTACCCCGTGCCAGATGCCAAAATCCTGCCCCATTTGCCAGCAGTCTCATGACTGCCACCCGTTTCTTCCTATCTCATCTGTCTCTTCTGAGCAGGCGCCTGCCTGGTTTGTCCTGGTGCTGAGCCCAGCAGGGAGCTGGCCACACAGAGGGGTCAGGGAGTGTTGTATCCTGAGTAGCAGTCCTGTGGCATCTGCTGCCCCCTCCGTGAGGGAGCAGAGGGCCCTCTCCTGGGAGCCTTGCATGGGCAGGCAGGTGGAGAGAGGCCCCGAGGTGGGGAGCTGCCCCCCAAGGGACTCCAGGAGCTTCACATAACTGACAGGAAGAGGGGGACTGGGGCAGGGCTGGACGTTGGAAGAGCTAACCAGACAAACCAGAAAATCCAACCATTTCCCTTTGGCCCACCAATGTGGTCCCTCCTTGAGTCATTAATCCAGTAGCCCAAGGAGATGCCCTGAACCCCCAGAGCAGGGGCCCCAACTAGGTGACTCCTTCCACAGCCAAGAACCAGCAGGGTGGTGTTGGCAGCAATGGGGGGAGATGCCAGGGCCCTGCCTCAGAGGGTCAGGCCTGCCCAGGAAATGGGTAGACAAAACGAAACACAGAGGCAGGGCTGGGCTCAGACCAGAGAGTCTTGTGCTTTATTGGCAGCTGGGGTAAAGTGGAACAAAAATAGTAATTCTGAGAGGCACAGGGAGCAGGCAGCCAGGCCTGGCCTGGCCCAGCCCAGCCAGCTGGGCCAAGGATGCTGGCTTTTTGTCCGGGGGCTGGTGTGTATGGGAGGCGGTTGGAGCACCAGGGACTAAGGCCTCTTGGAGAGGAGGCGCAGCTCAGAAGTCCATGGAGCTGTGGGCCAGGTAGTCCTTGCGGCCGATGTTGCTGACCTGCTTGGTCTGCATAGCCTCCAGTTTAGGGCAGTCAGTGATCCGATGGCCCAGGCCCCCGCAGAAGGCACAGCCTCGCTCTCCTGGGGGCATGGGGTATGGGGGCGGGGATCAGCATGGTCACAGGGCCAGGCTCCACACCCCAGAGCTAGGCCCCCCGGCAGCCCCCCAGCCCACTACTGTGCAGCATGGACCTGTTCTATGGTGCTCCCCCAGATGTGTCGGGCCCATCCCCCGCCCCCCACCAGCTAGTGTCTCCTGCTCTCCGGTCACCTCCGATGTCCAGCATGGACTCGTCCCCACAGTGCAGCACTTGCAGCACAGGCGGCACCTTCTGCTTGGCCTCCAACAGTAGGGCTTTGAGGTCCATCAACACGGACTCGTCTGTGGAGGCAGAGGGGAACCATCAGGACCAACCTTGGGCTCTGTAACTGGGACGTGGGTGGCCCGTCCCCCAGGAGGAGGTCCTGGGGACAGCTGAGGTGGCCCTGGTGGCAGACTCACCACAGGCTTTGTTGATGAAGGTGGTGGCAATGCCTGTGTTTCCTGAGCGCCCAGTGCGGCCGATACGGTGCACTGCAGAGAGAGGGACAGAGCCTCTGGTCCACTGCCCAGGGGCTGGAGACAAGCCCACCCGCTAGCTCCCAAGCTCCCCACCATAGTTCTCGATCTCCTCAGGCATGTCGTAATTGATCACATGCTGGATGGCAGGGAAGTCGAGGCCCTTGGAGGCTACGTCTGTGGCCACGAGAACATCCTTCTTGCCCTCCCGGAATGCCTCAATGGCCTTGGTCCTCTCCTCCTGGTCTGGGAAGGGTCAGGCAGCTGTTAGAGTGATAGCAGGCATCTGGGGAGCAGTGGCAGGCTGGCCAGGCAGGGAAAGGGACGAGGTGAGAGTCTGTGATGGCAATCAGGTCTATGCCTAAGCATATGCCCCCTAACCTTTGCCCCCATGGATGGCCACAGCCTCGACCCCCTTGAGAAGCAGGTACTCATGGATGGCGTCCACATCTGCTTTCTTCTCTGCAAAGATGAGCACCTGTCCGGGAGGGCCAACTCCAATCACGGGGACTGACTCTGCCTGTGTGTCCCTGCCCTTCCCCAGCATGAGGCCCCTCCCACCCACCCCTTCATCCTGGGGGTCCTGGGTGGTACACTCACAGGTGGGGGTGTCTTCTGCAAGCACTCGAGCAAGTACACCATTTTGGCTTCTTCCTTCACATATTCCACCTCCTGCCACCACAGGGTCCCTGTCAGGTGATCTTGAGAATAGGCTCACCAGCCCTGGCCCCACCACAGAGGCCAGGCCCCCAATCCAAAAGCCTCTTGCTACCAAAAGCTGGCCCCCCTAAGAATGTTTCCAGCTAAGGGCTGTGGCTTGGAATGAAACCCTCAGTGTCCACAGGGATGCCCCCCAACCCTGCTTCAATCAGCTTCAAGGGAATTTCACAAGACCCAGCCCTCACAAGTGAGACTGTGCACATCAGGAGGGCCTGCCCACCTGGATAACATCCAGGCTGGCAGCCCCAGCGCGCCCCACGTTGATTGTGACAGGTTTTACCAGTGCGCTCTTGGCAAAGTTCTGAATCTTCTTTGGCATGGTGGCACTGAAAAGCAGGGTCTGCCGCTGGCCCTGAGGAAGGGTAGGGCTGGGGCTGAGGGCATATGGAGACTGGGAAGCTGATCAGCTAGGTTATAGCCCCTGAAGTAGGGACAGTGAGTGGGCAGTGCAGGGTCTCAGGGCCCTCCACAAGTGAATGTGGAGTGCGGGGTGCAGGGAATGTCCTGGCTGGGTGGGGATGGGCACCTTGAAGTAGGAAAAGATGGTGCGGATGTCGCCCTCAAAGCCCATGTCAATCATGCGATCAGCCTCATCCAGAGCCAGGTAGCGACAGATGTCTAGGCTGACCATCTTCTTCTGCAGCAGATCCATGAGGCGTCCAGGGGTGGCTACCATCATGTGCACCCCACTAGAAATCAAGAAGAAGAGACCCAGAGGCTGGGGCCACCTACCCATCCCTATACCTGAAGACAAGCACTCTGTCCTGTTCTTCCCTCTGGACTCCTCTGTGTCTCCTCAGCTGTCCCCTTCCTGTCATTCCCACCACCCTGCTCCACATACAGCAGATGTCTCTCCTGGAGGAGGCTGGAGCCTTCTCAAGCACTGTCAGAGATCCTCCCCACCATGTGTCACCTCTGCCTGGCACTCCTCTCTCCCTTCTCCTCTCACCCCCAGGAACACTGTCTTAACTCTGCAGACAGGCCTCAGCCTGTGCTGCTGCAGCTCTCTTTGTACACATCCTTGATAGGCTCACCTGTCCTGGTACACTGAATCCATCCTTTCTGTGCCTAAATCTTTTCTGGGACTGGGAATGTCTCAAGAACAGGGGCTGGGTCTGGCCTGTCTGTGACCCCAGGGCCTGGTTCAGGGAATTTGACAATGTCTGTTGGGAACTGCACTGTGTGGAAAGGGCATGGGTCCAGCCCCTCCCCAATGCCTTAGCCTCCTGATGGACCACACTAATGACCCTGACCTTCCTGGACGCCCCAGACCCCCTATGTGCTTCTGCCTGGAATACCCTGACTTCCTGACCTCCCAGATACCTGACTGCATCTGTTGTGCCCCCACACTAACTTATCACATCCTTCTGCCCTACTTATCAATCTCCTCATTAGATGGGGAGCTCCTTGAGAGCTGGGCCCACAGGAGGCCTCTGCAAGGACCTGTGGAATAGCTAAAGCAAAGCATCCTTTAGCTTGTTTAGGGGCTTTGGGCAGACCCATAAGGTGGGGCTGACTGTGCTCACTGTCGGATGGTTTCCATCTGCTCCTTGACAGACATGCCCCCGATGCAGAGAGCGCAGCGCAGGAGAGGTGAGCTGTCCTCCTGTAGCAGGCGGCAGTAATACTCCAAGATCCCGTGGGTCTGCCGGGCCAGTTCCCGCTGTATGTACAGAGGCAGACGCTGGCACCAGAAGGTGGTTCCATCTCTGCCCTGCCCTCCATGCCAGTCTGTCTTACTGAGGGGCAGATGATGAGTCCATAGGGCCCTTCACGCTTGGAGAAAGGTAATCTCTTTTCTTGTTCCAGGCAGAACATGATGACAGGCAATGTGAACACCAGCGTCTTGCCTGAACCAGTGAAGGCAATGCCTATCATGTCACGGCCGGATAAACTGTTAGGGAAGAACAGGTCAGAGGGTCAGGCTCAGCAGAACACTGCTTCTCCAAGTGGACATCTAGTGACTGTTTTTCCCTGTTGTCACCCTTCTCTGGGCCCCCAGTTCCACACTCACATGGTGGGGATGCCCTGGATCTGAATGGGTGTAGGATGGTGGATGCCTTTCTTCTTCAGGCCTCTCAGGATGGCTATGGAAAACAACGCCGGCATTATCTTTGTGTTTCACAGGTACTTTACTGTGACCCAAATCCTTTAAAATTAGCACCATCTCCCTCAAGTTACAAATGGTGAAACACAGGCCCAGAGAAAGAAAGAAAAACACACTTGTCTGAGACTCCTAGGCTATATGGGGGTAGGATTCACATGCAGGTCTGTCTAAGGCCAATGTCACTTGCCCACTGAAGCTCCCTAATAGAAGAGAACAGGAAACATGCAGAGCTGGAGCAACTGAAAAAGGAGCAAAAGGAAACCCCTCCTCAAATCCTTCCATCCCTAGTGGCTAGATTCACCACTGTAGCTGCCGAGCTTAGGGGGGTTAGGATGCTTGGCTCAAAGATGCTTGGCTGTGAATGTGTCAGCCTTTCCCAGTTCCTAGGTACCTGCAGGAAATTTCATTTCCTTGAAGCTCTTGATGGGTGGTGGGATGCCATCTCCTTCCACCAGGATGTGGTACTTTCTCCGTACACGCTCATGCCGCTCTTCAGACACGCTCAGGACATAACGGGGTGGTGTCCAACTGTATGGGTGGGTGGTAGGGGTCAAAAGAGGGTCTGGGCACAGCTGGCTTTGAGGTGTCCCTGCCAGTCTCAGCCACACACCATCCCAAGTAAGGGTGACTGCCTTCCTACAGACTGGCAAGACATACCTGGTTTTGATTGGGTCATCGTATGTGATTCCCTTAGCCATCTCCTTCACTGACATTAAGGCTGAGAAGACAAATGTTACTCAGGGCTGGATCCTGCTTCCCAGAGGCCAGGCCCCCTGAGGTAAAACATGCGTGGGGTTGGAGGAGGAGGCTCAGTCCACTTCCCCCTGCTCTAGCTACAACTATACCTCGGCCCTCAGCCACACTCTCCAGAATCTTCTCCTCTTCCTTCAGCTGCTTTTCCTTGGCAGATTCTTTGCGGGCTGAGACAAGAAGCAGAAGATGCAAAGAGACACCAAAGCAGTGCACCAAGCTCAGCCTTCCCGCTGCTGCCCTACCCACCTTCGGCCTTCTCCTTGAGGTGCTGGTGCTGATCCAGGAGGCTGACATTGGACTGAGGGCCCAGCGGGATGTCGTCCTCATCTCCCCGGGGCTCGCTGCCGCTGTCTTGCTGCTCCTCCTCCGTAGCTCCCTTGCGCCTCCGCTGCAGCAGCTTCTGGAGCTGAGGGTCCACGAGCGCCCCTCAGAGCCAAGCCCAAGACGGTGCAAGGCAAAGGGCCCGGGGGATTCTGCTTCGGGAGAGTCTTGCGCCCCGCAGACAGGGAGCTGTCATACTGTTTTGATGAGGTCGCTAGTCCTCCGTTTGCTTGGGGGCCATGGTCCCGTGTCAGGACACCTCCTCCCGCCTGGGGCCGAACCCCCATTCCACAGACAACCTTCCATCCCACTCCCTCATTCCTCCTCCCACGCAGGGCCCTCACCAGCAGCTGCCGGCGCTGTCGCAACGGAACGTAGGGCACGTAGTCCTCGTCGTCCTCATCCTCTGCCTCGGAGCGGCTTCCTGCGGCAGTTACCTCGTCTGTGCGAGACCGCTGCAGATACACACGAGTCAGACCCAGACCCCCAGACTTCACTACCGCCTGCCACCCGCGCGGACCCCAACCTCGCTCCCACCTTCCGCTCAGGTTCCGACTCCTCCATCCTTTACTGCACGCATGCGCGCTACGGAAAACTCCGCCTCATTTTCGAGAGATCCAATCAGATGTGAAGGAGCGGAGGACGGCACCTAGCAACGACTGCTAAGTGCCGGATCGCGCAGAGGGACAAACTTTCAGCGCGGCGTCAACGTCCCTATGGGTAGCTCTCTACACAGCTGTTGCCAGGGCTGAGGGCGAAAGCGTCAGACAGGGTATTGTGGGACGCTGGTGGATTTGGAGTATACACTAAGGACCCAAACCAAGCCCGGTGCAAGAGGAAGGGTGGGGGCCCGGGGGCCCTGGGTTCATGAGAAAGGTAGTTCCTGCTGAGCCGCCAGCCGCGTCTCTCTGCAGAAAGGAATCGTAAGCATGGGTCCGAGTTAAAGCCAGGCACCACAATGGCGATGGGCTGCAATCACTAGGGGAACATGCGGATTCTGGGGAAATGTCCCTCCTTTTTCTGGCTCTAACCAGGCCAGATGGCAGCAGGCGCGCAGGGATCAGATGCTGAGGTGCCCAAGAAAGGATATGGAGGGACAAAAAATAAACACCCTCCCCCATCCCCTATCGTCACTCTGCTACAAAACGACACAGAAGCTTTAGAGACCAGGGCCTGAGGACTCCTGGGTCCCCTCAAGGAAGCTCAGGTGGAAGGAGATGTCCCCCCAGCCCAGGTCTGCTGCCCCAGGTTTCCCTGGAAGGATGGGGCATATCAGATCCTGGGGCACTTAGGTTGATATTAAGAACTGAGTGGAAGCCCCGAGTGGAAACCGCAGATCCCGAAGAGGGCGGTCTGCCACACCCTGACGTCACCCGGCACGCTCAAGGGCAGGGCCAGCTGGCATCCTGAGACTCCTCCGTACGGGCCACGGGGCCAGGGTGCGTGCGTCTTGCGGAATAAATGACCCAACATGCACTGCCACTGACTGGTGTCCTCATCTATATAAGGAATCAGTGGTGAGGGATAAATAAAATACTGATGACGATGGTTAACTGACAGCCTGTACATACACACGTATTACTGTAAATGCTGTTAACAGAGCTCAGAGTGCCTGAGAACCAGAGGCTTCAAGACTTGGATACGAGTTTCCAGGGATTTATGGCGTCTCAGAACAGGGAATGGAAGAGAGAGGCCTCATGATAGAGGGTCCTGCAGGAGTGAAGGTCTGGCCATGTACAAATACAGATTCCTCAGGGAATCAAGAAGTCACCCAGCAGGAATGGGGTGGGAGTAGCCAGCTGGAAAGGTAGACTGGGCCCAGGGCACGCAGGGCTGTGACTGCCACGGAATTTCAGAGGAGTGATGGGTCAGTACCCTTCTTTCCTTCATTAATACACTTAACTTGAGCATGTGTCATACACTGTGTAGTGCCGAGGCAGATCAAAGATGAGCAAGACACAAACCTGATTTTTGAGTCTACAGATTGAGGCAGAAATGTATTGATAACTGTCTTGAGATTAAGGAGAAATATTAAGATAGACAAAGGGGTGCTTTTGGAAGTATCAGCAGGAAGTAATGAAGGAAGGGTAATTGGGGAAGAGGGAAATATGTGATCAAAAGTTTACAGACTGCAGGGTACAAGGCCTAGATGGAAGACTGAGGGCATCTGCTGTGTCTGAAGTGCCAGAGGCAGGAACCAGGCATGGAGGCCCTGATTATCACCCACAGAGCTCTTTCTCTGTAGGTAAAGTGGCTGTTTGATCAGATCTTCAATTTTTGAGTGATGAAGCACAATTTTGGATAGCTATGTTAACTGGCAGGAGCCTGGTGCACAAGTTCAAGGTAGGGAGGAACCCAGGTAATACATACACAGTGAAAGGTTTCACAGGGAATCATCCACACTTCCTTGGGAATTGGAAAGGCTGGGGACCAGGAATTGTGAGCCTGTGGGCAATGCTGTTTTATTTCAGAAGAGGAAGCTGGCGCTGACTGCCAGCCATTGGTAGGTTTTAACCCTAGGCAAGTGAGGCAGGGAGTGGTTTCTGATCCTGCTCCTGACACTCCATAAGGGGCTCTTAGTGACTGTATGGCCACTACATTCATTGCTCCCCACTTGAGCTGAAGTTAAGAGCTGGTTTTAGTAGAGAAAATGACATGGGCAGAGGGCAAGGAGTTGGGACACAAATGTGTGTGAGGCACCTCTAGCATATGTATTATTTTCAAATCTGACTTTACAAACCGGATCCACTATAGGGGTGGGGAGTGGGGAGTCAGGAATGAGATTGTGTGCTTTTCTTTATAGATCGGTTCATTATCCTCTTAATTCTCAGGCACTTAGGCTACATGCCCCTTCTCAATTTACAGAAACTCTACTTACCCAACTACCCTGAAAATCCCCATCACCCAGGCTATAGGTGCATGGTCCATGAACTCAAGATTTTCCCAGACCCCTTCTCACATCAGCTGCACAGAAACCAACTCCCTCTAACTCACCTCCTTTGCAGAGGGGAAAAGTAAGACACAGCATGGGGAAGGGGCTGCTTTGGGTTCACAGCCTAGCATCCTCCCAGCAGGAGGAAAGGGCACAAATCTGCTGTCATCCAGGCCTGTGCTCTAATACCAGTTGGCCAGACTGAGCTCATGAAATCACTTTCCTATTCTAGCTTCAGTTTCCTTATCTGTAAAATGGGTAACAGTTCCACTTAGAATTGCTGTGAAGATTAAGCGGAAGCTATGCCAAACTGTTGATGTATAGTATGTGCTCAATAAGGTTACTGACTAAGGTTGACCCATTGCTTCTGAGTACACCTCTCACCTCACCTCCTACCCAGAACAGCAAACCACCAACACAGACTGTGTCCAAATGTTGCTTTATCTTTCGGCAGGAAAGATCTTCACAGTATCAAAAGTAAAGAATTGAAAAACAAAAAAACAAAAAACAAATGAAAACAAAAAAACCAAACACAAAGAGAGCAGTGTTGGGCCAGCAGTACCATCAGCTCCGGCCCATAGGCCAGCCCAGCCCCCAGGCTCTGAGTGTGGAGGCTGTGTAGCACCAGGAAGCGGCTCTGGAGGTCCTGAGGGGCCCCAGCACAGCACGGCATCCATTCAGCTTTTGGTCGGTCCAGGATGGTGGGGAGCAGGGGAGTCTTGGATAGGTGGGGATGTGGAGGAAGAAACTGTAGACCGTCAGCTGGCAGTTGGGGTCTCAGGACACCCTTAAGAAGCTTGACCCGGCCAGAGCTGAGAAAACAGGAGAGCATGGCCACATGGTGAACGAGGCCCTCGCCTTAGCCTCTCTGTGCTAGTTTTGCGTTCCCATGGGTCCCCATGGGTCCCTGTGGAGGCAGGAATAGTTGCCTACTATTTTTGCTTCCTGGGTGGAAAACACTGAATGACTTCTTCAGTCACCTCCAGCACAGAACGAAGGTTAAGACCCTATTGGGGGTCAGAGCCCCAGACCTGGGGTTCTGTCCAGATGTGGAGCAGTATCCTAGATTCCAAAGATTGTCCCAGGACCCCATTACAGTACATCCCCCCAGGGCAGGGTGGAGTAGGAACCCATCCTCTGGCACTTGCTCTCCTACTGACAGGCAGCAGAGAGGCAGTGTATGAGCTCAGACTCCTGCCACAGGCTCCAGTTACACAGCACGGCTGAATCCTGATTCTGTGTCAGCTCTGCTTTCTCATGTACTTGGGGCTTAATTCTGTGCTGGTCAGGGTAGAAGTGGTCAATGGAGAGCACTTTTGGGGGTAGTGGGGGGTGTCTCCTGTCTTGGGAAGGAGATCAGCTACAGGGAGTGGGAGACGCTGGATGAGGGTTCCTGGACGGGGCACTGGCCTTCAGGAGGAGGTGCACTCCCTTTCCTCTGAAAAGGGGCAACAGATGAAAGCCCAGAGCTAAGGCTGGCATCTAAGGTGGGGGATCCCGACCCAAAAGGGAACAAGGGTCCAGGAAGTCTGCTGCCCTGGCACTGAAAAGAGCACAGGCGAGAGCATCCTTCTGTGGAGTCCCTGAGCTCAGCCCACCTGCCCTAGACAAGCTGGGTGGTTACTAGCCAGAAAATGCCTGACTGCAGGGACATAGCCCAGGGTTGAGATACAGCCCTGCACAGCCATTTGGCCCAAGCCCAGCACCAAGACCTGCCAGCCAGACACCTTTTCTCCTGCAATATGGTTCTCAGCCCAGTGCCTTCTCAGTCTTCTGTTCTTAGTCATCTGATAGGCCAGTATCTCAGACAAAAGGACCTATGCAGGTGGCTGGGAAGAGAGGCCACAGCCTAGCTTGGGGCCAGATCTATTCTAGGAGGCAGCTTAGCTATCAGTTTCCTGATGGAACCTATTCTATTTGGGGAGAATGCCCACCAACTTCTCCAGGCCTACATAACCTCTCTCGAAGGTCTCGTCTTGCTCGTCTGCCCACTCTCCTGGGTCTGGCTCCTTCTTGCGTGGCTTTAGCTGGGAAGTACTCTGGTAGCCTACATGGAGGAACCAGGCCAGGTAAAGGTCAGGCTGAAAATGTCAGGGGTGGGTACAGCCCTCGGGTTCACAGCTGCCTGGGCATTTGGGAGGCAGCCAGTAAAGGAAAAGGAAGCCTGGTGGAGGTAGCCTAGGGTGACAGTGCAGGCTCTTCAGGGCCTGGGCCAGTGAGGAGCAGTGGAGGCCTGGGGGTGAGTGCCATAGGAGAAAAGGGGCTTGTGTCTTCAGAGCGCACAGCCCGCTGGGGCGGTCACTGTGGAGAGGCAGGGGCCAGTGCTGTCAAGCCCCAGCCCAACTCCGTGTGCCCCAGAGTATGAAATAGTCTGGCAGGGACCCAGAAGGTGGCAGAGCTTGGGGAGAGGGGTGCACACAATACTTGGGGGTCTCCATACCTCACTGAGCTGTGCTGGGAGTGGTTTTCTTGAGGCTGAAGTTGGTCCAGTTCACAGCAACTTTCTGACGAGTTTGCTTTGCAGAATCCAAACAGAACCTATCAGGTTTGGGAGAAGCACAATCAGAGGTTCCCTCCCCTCCCTGCTGAACCCCTCTTCTAAACGTAAAGAGACCAGGTCAGCTCCGCACAACTCCTCTGGCTCCCAGATATTGGGGTCTAACAGGTACGGGAGCTTCGCTGGCTTAGGGGCTTCCTGGACAGGGTGTCCACGAGCCCAGGGAACAGTATATGAAGAGAGTAACAATGCCTTGGGATACAGGCTCTCTGCACACCCTGTATTTTATTCAAGCTATACTGGGCTGTCTTATGTTTCCCTAAGTACTGTATGTATTTTTTACCCTCAAACCTTTTTACCTGCTAGCCCTGCTGTCATGAATATCCTTTCCGTTTCATCTGGCCCACTTGGTCTTATTCCTCAGGTTTCAGCTTGGTTGTGGTTCATTCTCCCCATCTATACTGTCTGACTCACCTCTGCCCCAGAGTTCAGCCCAGGCAGAGCAGAGGAAGTACAAGTGAATAAAGCTGGAGAAAGCCTTGGTTCTTGGGGCCTGACTTGCTTCCTTCTCCCCTTCCCTTGTACTTTCTCAGATGCCCTGTCCTGTCAAGTGGTTACTTGGCTTCCAGCAGATAGGCTGGTAGGAGACACCTTGGAGAGAGGCTCTTCCTCTGGAGGCACAGGGCTGAGGGAGAGGCCTGAGTGTGGGCCGGAGAGCAGGCAGCCCCTCACCTACCTCTTGAAGTACTCCACCTCCCGGTCAGTCTCATCCATCTCTACCCCATCCATGTCCTTGGGCAGGAACACATCGTCTAGGAAGACACAGCCAGGAGGGCTGAGTGCCCACAGCCAGGCCTCTAGGGGTCACGCTCTTGGGGAAGCACTGCCCACACACAAGGACTGCCCTCCACCCTGTGGCCTGGCTGGGTGAGGGTCAGCCACTCAGGTCCTAGTGCACTCACCCAAGGAGGTGGCTGTCTTCTCTTGCTTGTTGCGGCTGCGGCGGCTGCGACCCTTGCCCTGTGGCAAACTCTGTGGCCTTGCTGGGCCTGGGTGCTGCACAGACTCCTGCTCTGGAGGCCGTGCCTTGGCCTCACCTGGCCAGTTTCGCCAGATGCTGACCTTCTCCTTGTCAGTTTTGGGGCTGCTGGCCCAGCCTGGTCCTGGCTGGCTCCCTCCGCCTCCCTCTCCAGCTTCGGCACAGCTGCCCTCTTTGGGAGGCTCTGGAGCCTTACCTGGCTGCTTGGGGCTGGGAGTCTGGCCCTTGGTATTGGGAACCTCGAGACTGGCTGGGGACCGGGCAACTAGGCTCACCTCATTCTTCTTGGCCTGACTGCCCTGTCTTTTGCCTTTCCGTGGCTTCCCAACTGAGGCCACAGGCTCAGGCAGCTCTTGCTTGCAAATGGGGACCTCCTTTGCACCTGGCTCCTCACAGCTAGGGTTACCTAGTTTGGGTGTCTTGACCCAGATCACCCGGGACAGGTTGGGCACAGTGTTAAGTCTCCTCACTAGCCCATTCTCAGGGATGATACCAGGTGGGGGGCCCCTCACCTCTGTCCATGGTGGGTGGGGCCCTCTTATTTCTGCCCAGGGTGGAGTTGGCTCGCCTGGGGCTTGTAACGTGTGGTTCTGAGGGGAGCCCAAAGTCAAAGGGGACAGGTCAAGGCTGATGTCAGGCCGTTGCTCTGAGGAGCCATTGAGGTTTGAGGGGGGTAGACTCTGGGGTTCTGGCTCTGCAGCCCCCTCCTTAGAGAAACCATTGCTGTCCATGCTGAGCTCACACATACTGAAGCTGGCACGGATGGAGTCTTTGACAGTGTTCTTGATCTCCTGCAGACGGTTGCTCAGGAAGTTGTTGACCCGATCTAGCTCATGGTCAGGCCACTCCAAGAGCCTTTCTCTGGCAGACCTTGCTTCCCGGTTTCCAGAAACACGATTCACCTGCTTTAGAGCTTCTGCCGCTAACTGGGCCTTCTCCTTTTCCTGCCAATACAAGAGGCAGGTTGAGCTGGGACCTGGCAGCTGCCAATCACAAGATGACACCTGACACATCAGCCTGGGGCTTAGCTTTGCTGCTAACTGGATAGAGGCAAGGCCTCATGAACCTGGCCTACTTGCCCACTCTGCAGGAGTGAGGACAAAATATAATCAGACAGGTACCTGTCCCAGTTGCAGAGGTGGTTACATCCACAGAGGGTAGGGTGTTTATGGCTTGTTCATCTACAGCCCCAGTGTCAGTCACAGGGCCTGAAGGCTAGGACTCAAAGAGACAGGAACATTGCTAACTACATCTTGCCTCCTAGGCCTGAGCTTAAGCAATTCACTTTCTGGCTGAGTGTCAGTGGATCCATCTGTAAAATGGGGACATAATTCTGGTGTGAAGACCAAAGAGGGAATCCATGTAAGGAAGATGGCTGCTGCAGAGACATTTTCTCCAATTATGCAAGTGGTAGGGGACAAAAAAGCTGTGATATGGTGGGGGTTTTTCAAGAAGGAAGATGTGGGGCTGTTAGGCTGCCATGGTCTATCAGACGGTTTGGGTGGCCAGGAATGTGTGTGCCCTCTGAACATGTATGAGTGCTACTGAAGAGGGTGATATTCCTATAGGAAGGCCATTCACTGTTCAGTTGGTTAGCACATCTAGATTGTGCCCAATAGCATACAAAGGACAGATACATGCGGCCCCAAAGCAATATGTAAAAGCAGCCCTGCTGACTGGGTGAGGACCAGGAAGCTTAGGGAGACTGGATCCTGCCAGTCAGTGTTAACAGACCTGGTTCTGAGAGTGAAAATGAGTTTGTGGGCTCTAAGTCTCCCCACTCCTCTGCCCAACCTCAAGGTACCAGCAGGCTAGGGAGGCCTTTAGGGGGAGATAGGAGACAGATGTCAAAAGCCTACAGGTAGGGGGTGATGTACCAGGAGCTGGATGACTTCCACCATTTCAGGTATTTCTAGTTGATTTGGGAATGGATGCGGAGAAACAGGAAAAGGAAACAGGAACAAAAGAGGCCTTGCTACTACCTCACAGTCAACTTAAGAGAGGGTGATCTTGTACCCCAGCAGGTACACATTTATTCTTTCATCTTTTTTGAATACAGGCTCAGCTTATTAGGACCACAACTGTGGGACCTTGGACAAATCACTTACTCTCTCTGAACCTTATTCTCCTCATTTGTAAATGTGGGAGAAAAATTATCCACCTATATACTTCATAGTGTTGCAGGACATCTGAGAGGGTGTATGTCCCTTTCCACAGGCGTTATTAAGGTTATGCCTTGGCACTGTGGTGCTCAGGTGAGGAAGAAGCTCAGTCTGGAAGGGTGTTTCCAGCTGTGCGCTGTGAAGTTCAAAGCCACAGGCAGAGCCTTGAGACCTTGAGGACAGGCAAAGGACTGGAAAGTCCTTTACTTTGCTCCTCCCCTGCACCAGAACAGCTTTGCTTTTATTTGTTAGGAATTGAGGTTCCATGGAAGATTCCACTTGCAGAAGAGTTCTGCTACTAAACAAAGAAGTCTGAAAACTAATGGTGAACAGCAAGTGATGTGGAACCATGTACAACGCTGGGGCGGTCACTGTGGAGAGGCAGGGGCCAGTGCTGTCAAGCCCCAGCCCAACTCCGTGTGCCCCAGAGTATGAAATAGTCTGGCAGGGACCCAGAAGGTGGCAGAGCTTGGGGAGAGGGGTGCACACAATACTTGGGGGTCTCCATACCTCACTGAGCTGTGCTGGGAGTGGTTTTCTTGAGGCTGAAGTTGGTCCAGTTCACAGCAACTTTCTGACGAGTTTGCTTTGCAGAATCCAAACAGAACCTATCAGGTTTGGGAGAAGCACAATCAGAGGTTCCCTCCCCTCCCTGCTGAACCCCTCTTCTAAACGTAAAGAGACCAGGTCAGCTCCGCACAACTCCTCTGGCTCCCAGATATTGGGGTCTAACAGGTACGGGAGCTTCGCTGGCTTAGGGGCTTCCTGGACAGGGTGTCCACGAGCCCAGGGAACAGTATATGAAGAGAGTAACAATGCCTTGGGATACAGGCTCTCTGCACACCCTGTATTTTATTCAAGCTATACTGGGCTGTCTTATGTTTCCCTAAGTACTGTATGTATTTTTTACCCTCAAACCTTTTTACCTGCTAGCCCTGCTGTCATGAATATCCTTTCCGTTTCATCTGGCCCACTTGGTCTTATTCCTCAGGTTTCAGCTTGGTTGTGGTTCATTCTCCCCATCTATACTGTCTGACTCACCTCTGCCCCAGAGTTCAGCCCAGGCAGAGCAGAGGAAGTACAAGTGAATAAAGCTGGAGAAAGCCTTGGTTCTTGGGGCCTGACTTGCTTCCTTCTCCCCTTCCCTTGTACTTTCTCAGATGCCCTGTCCTGTCAAGTGGTTACTTGGCTTCCAGCAGATAGGCTGGTAGGAGACACCTTGGAGAGAGGCTCTTCCTCTGGAGGCACAGGGCTGAGGGAGAGGCCTGAGTGTGGGCCGGAGAGCAGGCAGCCCCTCACCTACCTCTTGAAGTACTCCACCTCCCGGTCAGTCTCATCCATCTCTACCCCATCCATGTCCTTGGGCAGGAACACATCGTCTAGGAAGACACAGCCAGGAGGGCTGAGTGCCCACAGCCAGGCCTCTAGGGGTCACGCTCTTGGGGAAGCACTGCCCACACACAAGGACTGCCCTCCACCCTGTGGCCTGGCTGGGTGAGGGTCAGCCACTCAGGTCCTAGTGCACTCACCCAAGGAGGTGGCTGTCTTCTCTTGCTTGTTGCGGCTGCGGCGGCTGCGACCCTTGCCCTGTGGCAAACTCTGTGGCCTTGCTGGGCCTGGGTGCTGCACAGACTCCTGCTCTGGAGGCCGTGCCTTGGCCTCACCTGGCCAGTTTCGCCAGATGCTGACCTTCTCCTTGTCAGTTTTGGGGCTGCTGGCCCAGCCTGGTCCTGGCTGGCTCCCTCCGCCTCCCTCTCCAGCTTCGGCACAGCTGCCCTCTTTGGGAGGCTCTGGAGCCTTACCTGGCTGCTTGGGGCTGGGAGTCTGGCCCTTGGTATTGGGAACCTCGAGACTGGCTGGGGACCGGGCAACTAGGCTCACCTCATTCTTCTTGGCCTGACTGCCCTGTCTTTTGCCTTTCCGTGGCTTCCCAACTGAGGCCACAGGCTCAGGCAGCTCTTGCTTGCAAATGGGGACCTCCTTTGCACCTGGCTCCTCACAGCTAGGGTTACCTAGTTTGGGTGTCTTGACCCAGATCACCCGGGACAGGTTGGGCACAGTGTTAAGTCTCCTCACTAGCCCATTCTCAGGGATGATACCAGGTGGGGGGCCCCTCACCTCTGTCCATGGTGGGTGGGGCCCTCTTATTTCTGCCCAGGGTGGAGTTGGCTCGCCTGGGGCTTGTAACGTGTGGTTCTGAGGGGAGCCCAAAGTCAAAGGGGACAGGTCAAGGCTGATGTCAGGCCGTTGCTCTGAGGAGCCATTGAGGTTTGAGGGGGGTAGACTCTGGGGTTCTGGCTCTGCAGCCCCCTCCTTAGAGAAACCATTGCTGTCCATGCTGAGCTCACACATACTGAAGCTGGCACGGATGGAGTCTTTGACAGTGTTCTTGATCTCCTGCAGACGGTTGCTCAGGAAGTTGTTGACCCGATCTAGCTCATGGTCAGGCCACTCCAAGAGCCTTTCTCTGGCAGACCTTGCTTCCCGGTTTCCAGAAACACGATTCACCTGCTTTAGAGCTTCTGCCGCTAACTGGGCCTTCTCCTTTTCCTGCCAATACAAGAGGCAGGTTGAGCTGGGACCTGGCAGCTGCCAATCACAAGATGACACCTGACACATCAGCCTGGGGCTTAGCTTTGCTGCTAACTGGATAGAGGCAAGGCCTCATGAACCTGGCCTACTTGCCCACTCTGCAGGAGTGAGGACAAAATATAATCAGACAGGTACCTGTCCCAGTTGCAGAGGTGGTTACATCCACAGAGGGTAGGGTGTTTATGGCTTGTTCATCTACAGCCCCAGTGTCAGTCACAGGGCCTGAAGGCTAGGACTCAAAGAGACAGGAACATTGCTAACTACATCTTGCCTCCTAGGCCTGAGCTTAAGCAATTCACTTTCTGGCTGAGTGTCAGTGGATCCATCTGTAAAATGGGGACATAATTCTGGTGTGAAGACCAAAGAGGGAATCCATGTAAGGAAGATGGCTGCTGCAGAGACATTTTCTCCAATTATGCAAGTGGTAGGGGACAAAAAAGCTGTGATATGGTGGGGGTTTTTCAAGAAGGAAGATGTGGGGCTGTTAGGCTGCCATGGTCTATCAGACGGTTTGGGTGGCCAGGAATGTGTGTGCCCTCTGAACATGTATGAGTGCTACTGAAGAGGGTGATATTCCTATAGGAAGGCCATTCACTGTTCAGTTGGTTAGCACATCTAGATTGTGCCCAATAGCATACAAAGGACAGATACATGCGGCCCCAAAGCAATATGTAAAAGCAGCCCTGCTGACTGGGTGAGGACCAGGAAGCTTAGGGAGACTGGATCCTGCCAGTCAGTGTTAACAGACCTGGTTCTGAGAGTGAAAATGAGTTTGTGGGCTCTAAGTCTCCCCACTCCTCTGCCCAACCTCAAGGTACCAGCAGGCTAGGGAGGCCTTTAGGGGGAGATAGGAGACAGATGTCAAAAGCCTACAGGTAGGGGGTGATGTACCAGGAGCTGGATGACTTCCACCATTTCAGGTATTTCTAGTTGATTTGGGAATGGATGCGGAGAAACAGGAAAAGGAAACAGGAACAAAAGAGGCCTTGCTACTACCTCACAGTCAACTTAAGAGAGGGTGATCTTGTACCCCAGCAGGTACACATTTATTCTTTCATCTTTTTTGAATACAGGCTCAGCTTATTAGGACCACAACTGTGGGACCTTGGACAAATCACTTACTCTCTCTGAACCTTATTCTCCTCATTTGTAAATGTGGGAGAAAAATTATCCACCTATATACTTCATAGTGTTGCAGGACATCTGAGAGGGTGTATGTCCCTTTCCACAGGCGTTATTAAGGTTATGCCTTGGCACTGTGGTGCTCAGGTGAGGAAGAAGCTCAGTCTGGAAGGGTGTTTCCAGCTGTGCGCTGTGAAGTTCAAAGCCACAGGCAGAGCCTTGAGACCTTGAGGACAGGCAAAGGACTGGAAAGTCCTTTACTTTGCTCCTCCCCTGCACCAGAACAGCTTTGCTTTTATTTGTTAGGAATTGAGGTTCCATGGAAGATTCCACTTGCAGAAGAGTTCTGCTACTAAACAAAGAAGTCTGAAAACTAATGGTGAACAGCAAGTGATGTGGAACCATGTACAATTTGGTAGCGAGAGGAAAAGCACAGAAGCACTTATTTTCTGTTATGTACCAAGAGCCTGGTACCACCCACCCTCCAAGTTTCATTTAATCCTCACAACTGCCCTTGTTGTAGCATCCTCCTCAGTTTACAGATGAGGGTACTCCAATCTGGGAAGAATAAGGAGTTGGCGTAAGGTCACACCGCAGAGGGGGATAGCACACCCAGCTGATCGGCAGAGCTCCTAGGGTTTTTCAAGACTGTTTGATAATCCTTTTCTTGACTGTTGACAGTGAGGCACTGGGCTGGGCTCTGGGAATTCAGCCGTGCATGAGACACAGTCTCTGCTCACTCTGCTCTATGCTGGGGAAGACAGACATGCAAACACAGGCTGCTTAATTCTGAGCGACAAGAGCTACAGGGAAGAAAGCACAGGGTGCTCTGGGATTCCAGACTGGGTCATGAGGGGGTACTTCTTAGAGGAGGCAGTATCTCCCTGAGCACTGAAGGGTGAATGGGTTATCCTGGAGAGCATAAGACAAGCATCTTCTAGGCAGAAGGAAGAGCAAGTATAAAGGCTGGGAAATGGCAACACACAAAATCTTTAGGGAATACAAGCAATCAGAGTGATAGGTGGAACCCAGATTTCTTTTGGAATGGGGGCTGAGCTAGGGGTGGACAGGAAGGCCAGAGAGAGCGACTGACAGATGAAGCTGGAAAGCTAAGCAGGGGCTGGATCCTGAAGAGGCCTGCAGGCCATGCTTGAGTCTGGGTTTGGTCCTGAGGGCAATGTTCAGTCATTGAAGGCTTTTAAGGTAGCGGCAGTAAGGTGGAGGGAGAGAAGTGGACGGCTTGAGCTATTTGGTAGGCAGTGTGGCCAGAACTCTTGGTGACAGTTGGGGAGAGAGAATGGGGTGAGTCCCGGAAACATGGACAACCAAGACTACTGCTATAGCAGCTACACTGACCAGGTGCTCACTCTACTGAACCTTTCTGTGCATCACTCCATTTCACTCTCACAACAATCTGAGTTAGGTTCTGTTATTCTCATTTTATGGATGAAGAAACTGAGGCTTAGAGGTTAAATGATTTGCCCAAGGTCATACAGTGAGTGTGGCAGAGCGGGGTTTCAAACTGAGGTCCAACTCCAAGCCCTGCTGCTCTTAAACACGACGATGCATTCCTCCCAGGATGGCACACAGGCTCTGGTTCAGGCAACTGTATAGATGGTGGTGCCATTAACTAGACAGGCAACAGAGAAGGAAGAGCAGGCCTCTCCTCTTCGGAGAAAGAGAACAAGCTCAGTTTGGGTACCTGCGGGCTATCTGCGAGGAGGCACCCAACAGCAGCTGTAGGACATCAGTGTGAATGAAGTGCAGGGAAGAAACAGGCTGACATTAAATCAACTGAACTGGGAGCAACACTATCTAGATGATAGCTTTTTGCCCAAGAGATGTTCTCAAGGGGGAGGGTCAGATAGAGGATGAGGAGCTCACAAAGGAGAGAGAAAAGAGGTCAGAGAGGAAGGTGAGCAAGTTGGAGAACATGGTGTTGCCATGTCCCTTCCCTGCCCGCACTTGGCTGGGGACTGAGATGCCAAAGAGAACAATGTTTGAAGAGAAGAACCAACACAGAAGTGTAAACTTTACCTAGTGGATGAGGAAGATGGAACAGGAGAGTGTGATTTGGTGACAAAAAAGTAACTAGTGGCTCTTTGTTGGGGGTGGAGTGGAAAACAGTTGGCAGAGAGCTGACAGGAAGAGTAAGGACAGTAAATGCAGACATTTTCTAAGAAATCTGGCTGTGATCTACAGGAAAGAGAGTAGATGGGTGAGAGAGGCTGTACACCCAAGGAACAGTTTGCTTTTTAAAAGAGAGTAGTACTAGGTGTAGTTTAAATGCTGATGGGAAACAGCCTAGAGGACAGGTGGGAGCCACAGAGCAGGAAGTAGCTGTTAGACTGAGGAGGCAGAAAAGGGCTGCACTAGCCTCTGGGAGGAAAAGGAGTAACTCTTCCCTCTTGACAAGAAGAAAGTTTGCAGGTAGGGTGGTAAGACAGAGAGAGTCTATCCCCTGCTTTTTTATCTTGCTGAAGTAACAAGTAAGGTTATCTGTCAAAAAATAAGGTGGGGTGGGAAAAGCCTGGAGGTTTGAGGAGAATGGGTCTGACAAAGGGGCTGTGGTGAATGGAAATGATGAGAAGCAAGAAGACCAGGGAGCTACCAGAGACCTCCTGTAGCTCAGGCAACCAGGAGACCATGTGGCCAGGGTGCCACAGATAGGCTGGATCCCGTGCTTTCCTTGAGGTGCAGAAGGGGAAAGGCAGGTTGGGATGGAACCCAGGGTTGTGATTTTTCTGAGTGTTCGTAATGGAAGGGCAATGGGGCAAGGAATGTCAGTGAGAGAGCAAGCGAACAATGGGCAAGGGATCTCTACTGGTCTGGAAAGAGGAGAAAGCAGCAGATGACAGTCTTCAGTAGATGAAGAGGAGTGGCTGGGAGTTTGTAGATGACAGAGACAGAGGTCTGTTCCAAAGAAGCAGGGATTAGGACATGAAGGGGAGAGAGTTAAAGTCTGGAAAAGGTGTCAGGGGGCAGAGAGACATTCAGTTTTATCTTTCTCCCAAGGCGGGAAAGGATGTGCCATCTACACTGGATGGCTCCTAGGGAAAGCTGTGTTTTTGGTGGGCAGCAAGACTGTGGGTAATTAAATCTGGGAGGTGGGGAAGGGACACTGGGGAAGAGTCTGATGTAGAAACAGATTAATGGCCATTACTGCCTATCACACTAATTTGCAGCTGCCTGCTTCCGTGTTGTATCCTGGCCTCTAGATTGGGCTGGGCAGACAGTAGCTGTGCAGCAAGTTTTGGAATGAGGGAGCAGAGTGTGATAAATGGCAGACTAGAGAGATGTGCAAGGTGTAGCAGTTCAGCAGAAGTTACCTGAGGATGTCTGCCAAGGAGGAAACATCTGAACTGAGCTTGGAAGGAAGCAGAGAATGTTACTGGTGAAAGGAAAAGGATGTGTGGGCACATGATTTATGGAAAGCACACTGTGCCTGGGAACTCTGAAGTGTGCTTGCTGGGACCTAACAGGAACGCTGCCTTAAGAGGCGAGGAAAGGCCAAAGATACCACTGCTGCCCACCGCATGCCAGATGATCCTGGATGGGAGAACAAAAATGCCGACCATTTTCTGAAGAGTGGTGGGACCCCTTGGTTCACTACTTCAGGCTGCAGGGAAAGGGTCCTGGTTGTCCTCTAGGCTAGAGAAAGATAATCACTGCTGCTTTCCAGAGCACCAGAGCTATTTGACCACCCAGGACCTGGAGCTAGTTGGTGGCCAAACCCAATTTCTTCTGAGTTCCTGAGTGTGGCACTATGGAGACACAGCAGGAGGCAGGCAGGCAAAGAGGTAATGAGGTGGCAGGGGACGAGCCATCAAGCCCTGGGGTTCACCAGGCAGCAGGGCTGCCTGGAAATAGCTCACTGGGGTCTATCCTCAGCCCACTGGGAGAAGCTCACTTAGCCTAAGGGTGAAGTCATGCCCATAGCTTTAATTACATCACCATGCTGGCAACTCCCAGCCCCACACCTCACCTGCACTTGGATGTCTCACAAGAACCTCCAAGTCACTGTGCCCCACTGAATACCCAGTCTTTTGCCATCCTAACCTTGCTCAGTGAAAGGCATGTTCTTGCCAGTCACCCAAGCAAACAACTGGGGGATACCTCTGACTCCTTCATCTCCCTGTCCTGCAATTAGATCATCAAAGCCTGTCACTTCTGCTTCCTCTCAAGATCCATCTCTCCTTCTCCAGCCCACCCCCACCATTCATCTCTCCCCTGGCTCTCAGTTTTCTGGAGTATCATCCCTCCAGGGCCTTCCAGATTGCAACACAGTAATCCTGAAATACAGATCCAACCAAGTGCATTCTCTGGTTAAAGCTCTCTAGTGACTCCCCCTCAGCTGTAGAATCAAGTCAAAGCTCCTCAGCCAGGCTATGAGGCCCCTCCCCACCTGTACTCTCTGTTTGAGCTCTGGTTTCACCAAGTGGCTGTGCACGTGCTATGCCTACTGCTAGGAGGAACTTCCTGATAAAAGTTGTATTTACTCCCTATAACTCAGCTTCTAAGTCAGCCTCTTGGTATAACCATTTCTAGCATGCCCAGGCAGGATGATGGGGGGCTTCCCTCATCCCAGTACTTGTCACATGCTAATGCGCCTGTTGAGTTTTACCAGTCTTTTCACTGGGCTGAGCTTTTCTAGGATGAGAACTTAACTGCATCATACTTTGGCTCCCAGTATTTGCAGAAGTGTTTGTTGAGAATAAATGACTGACTGACTGACTGAAGCAAGTCCTGCCTGGGCTTTGAGGAATCCAGCAAGTGGCTTCTGAGGCCAGGATGTGTTTTCCTTCCAGTCACTGGTCTCCAGGCCCCCTGACCCCAATGCCTCCTGAGCTCGTTCAGACCTTCCCAGAGCATAGAACTATGCCAAGGCCTTTGGTAGCCAGCACCATTCATGCTCCAAGTCTTGGGGGTTGGGACAAGGGATTCCTCAGGGAAGAGAGGTGGTAGAGCTGGGCTCCCCCCCACACCCACCTTCTTTTTCAGCTTGTGCCGGGCCCGCTTGGCGGCCCTGGCGCTGTTGGGGACTTTGGGCTCCGTGCTGTTGATGAATTCCAGCAGTTCATCGACATCTCGGTGGTCCACGGCGGGCTCCCCAGGGATCCCTCCCAGGGTGCCCCCCTTCATAGGCAGCTCCTCTTTCCGCCTGGTCAGCCTTGAGCGGAGCTTCTCTCGGATCTCGGTATAATTCCGACTCGTCGGGGCAGCGGGTGGCTGGGGGAGGGGGAGGTGCTGATGTTATACCCTGGGCCTGGGAAGCCCATAGCACTCCCACCCACTGGCATGGAACATGTGGTGAGAAGTGAGACAACTGTTCTTTCTACCACAGCCACAAAGGCCAAATGGCTTCACCCTCAGCCAGGCTCAAAGCCAAGGCAGTGGTGGGTGGAGGAAGTGGAAGGGATGTGACAGTGTTGGGAGTAGGAAAGAAGGTTTGAGCCCGGGCCCTGTCACTTGGATGCTGTATGACCTTGGGCAGGTCACTGAGTCTTTGAGCCTCTATTTTGTCACCTCTAAAATGAAGATAATAACCACTAGCTCAAAGGTGACTAGCAATGTGATTACTTTCTTCTGTCCTCAACTGCTCTACCCTAGCTGGCAGCCCTCTCCTCTTCACCTTATGAGACTTCTGAACTGTCTTCTCCCCCTGTCCAGAGAGATAGCATGTACTCTGCTCTGAGCCTCCTTCCTGGTGCCATCTCTGCTCATGGCCTGTCCCTCACACTTGAAGGACTGAGAGCCTTTGCTTCCACTCTGCCTCCATCACACACAAGTGTTCACTTCTCTGTGATTATAAACATATACACACTCATCAGAATCATAGCTTTCTCTCTGCCATTTCCTTTCCTTTTGCCTAAGGAAAAAAGTCGACCTTAAGAGAAACCGCAAAAAGTGCAAAGGTAACAAAATATTTAAGTCTCTACCTCACAAATGTGCTTTGAGGATCAAGTGAGCGGACACAGATGTGAGGACTCATAGGGTCCCAGTGCAGTTACTACCCCTGTGAGCAAAGGGGTCTCTGGGGAGAGTGGGGTATTTCTTTGGCTCACCTTGGCCGGTTCCCAGCCCTCTGTGGCCTTGCAGGCTCACTCACCGCGTTGTGGCCGAAGAACTCACAGTAGCAACAGTCACAGAACTTCCCATCCCTCTGGTGGGTGGAGGATGAGGTGCAGGAGCTACGTTCTGAGCTGCTGTCCTCTTCCTCGCCCAGCCCCTCATCTGCCTCGCAGGGCTGGGGCAGCTGGCAGGCCAGGCCACTGTGTGTAAACTTGTGCCCCTTGCACCCAGGGTCCCTGCTGATGGGGTAGAAAGATAGGCCCAAACATGAGGGAGGGTAGGCTGCAACGTGGGAGCCTGGGAATGCACCCCCACCCATCACCGTCACAACTACCCTTCCTCTGTCTCATCCTATGAAGGGCAAGGTAGTAAGACCACATCAATGCTTTTCATAGGGCCAACACCTTCACTGTCCCTCAGGGCACAGCTCAATGATGCTATTCTGGAAAAGTTTCCCATGCCTCCCCTGCCCACACCTACCATGCAACCTTCCTGCAGTTGGAGGGTACCATGTATATCTCTCTGTAACGTACTGTCTATCACACTTTACTGCAATGTCTGTTTGCTTGTTTGTCTCTCAGACCAGCCTTTACATTCCCTGAGGGCAGGGACCATGCCACTTCTATGTTTGGGTCCCAGTATATAGTTTAACATCCATGCACACAGTAGGTGCTCAGTAAATGGGTGTCTGAGCAGATTAGTGGTTGGATAGCTCCCTAGAGCACCTGAAGGAGGTTAACGAGGTCTCCTCTCACTCTCTGAGCTCCTTAAGACTGAGTCGGCACCAGTGGGTGGAGCTACCTTAGCCATGGTGCCTTGAGGTTAGGAAAGCAAATGTGCCCTGTAGGCCAAACTCTAACAACTACTGTTTGTACCAGATCTGTAGCATGTCATTTGTAACCATCCCCAAAGTCCTGCAAAACAGGTGCCACTCTCACCACCTTTCAGTGGAAGAGACAGAGGTTCAGAGTGCCTAACTGCTTTGGCCAAGGAGTGGCCAGGACTCAGCCTGTGTCTCTGTGTATGCAAAGCTCATGCTCTCTCACTACACTGCTCTGCCTCTGGACTTGAGGAAGCACTGGGAACACCTTTAGTATTGACTGTTTTTCCAGGGTAAGGAAGAGACATGGGCCTGCAAGGTCCCAGAATTGGAGCTAAATGTTCCAGAGCCTTGTGCTGGCTATCAGTGATGGGAACCAGGAGGAAAGATAGGGCAAAGAACAGTGAGGAGGCTCAGCTCCCAGGGCAGTCTGAGCTGAAGGGGTAGAAAAGGAGAGCCGGAGCCATTAGCAGTGGTGCTTAGAGATGCTTAGTTCAAACTGACCATTCTTCCTCTATATTAGCATAATCAAAATATGCAGTGCTCCTGAGAATATGGAGAAAACTAGCCCCCTAATATTGGTGGCTATATGTCAGTTTGAAGAGCCCTTTGCAAAGTAATTTTTCAATGTGTGTTAAGAACACTTCTTAACAAAAATAAAGAAAAAGAAAAAAAAGACATTTAACATCCTTTAAAATGAGAACTTTTTTCAGTCTGAGGAATCTTTTCCAAGGAGAAGAATCCAAAAGAGGGAAAAAGCTTTCAGCAAAGACATCTTCAGAGACATTATAATGTTAAAATGTTGGAATGACCTAAATGTTTGGCAACTGGAGAAAAAGTGTACTATGGAGGGTATTTTCTAGCCTTTAGCAAGGCCTCAAAATACCACACAGGAACTTAACAATGCCAAGTGAAACCAGATGGTCAAAAATGACAGATACCACCAACACTGTGTGGGCAAGACACAGAGGGAAAACAGCTAAGAGTAGTTGTATTGGGGTAGCAGGATTTTAGAATGGGAAATGGAAATGCATAATAAACACAGATATGATTTATAATACAAAAATGTACATCTATATTCTCCAAAAATTTGTATCTTTCAAGTTTATATATATAGAAAATATATTAACATAAACTTCCTCAGTACTTAATTACTTCTAGGAATCTACCTGAAAGTCATAATTCTTGACTCAAAGACAGATCTGGGTGCACAGATGCATATTAGAATCTTGTTTATAATGGTTAAAAACTAGAAATGCCTAAATGTCCGGGAATTGGAGAGTTATAAAATAAATTATGTTACAGCTATACAGTAAAACATTATGTGGCCATTGAAAAGTTTTTGAAGAATTTTAACTGGGGAAATGATTATGGTATAATTTTAAAAAGTACACAAAAATGTATAGAACCTAGATCGAATTATAATACTTACACACAGAAATATCAGGAAGAAAATATACCACAGCGTTAGAAGTTTATCTTTAGGTTGTGAGGGAACTTTTTCTTTATACATTTCTAAACGTTTGCAAGTTTAAAAAAAATAATGAGCACATGTTTCTTTTATAACTGGAAAAACTATGAAAAATAACAAACAAGATGTACCCTTCAATTTCCAACCAAATGCTAAGTTCAGGTGAGTGGGGCGCCTGCCCCTCCCACACCCACTTACCTGTGAGTGCTCGGAAGCTGCTGAGAGCTGGGTGGCGGGAGGAGAGGCCCGCTGCAGTGCCCGCTGCAGTGCCCACTGCAGGGGTGGCTGCACCCTGAGAATGGTGGGGGCATTTTCAGGAGCGGCAAGCTGGTGGAGGGCAGATGGGGGCTCTGACATGTCCCTGGGGTGTGGGGAGTGGCAGCAGCGGCAATAGGGCATTCAGAAGCCTGGACAGGGAAAGGCGCTGCTGGGGTGGTGGGCAGCAGATGTGGGTGGGGTGGTGAGCTAAAGGATCCAAGGTGAGATGGGATCAGCGATGCTGGCTGGGGGTGGTGGCCGGTGGGGCTATTAGGTGGAGCAGTGAGGTCTGAGTGCCGGTGGTGCTCCGAGATGGAGAAAACCTCACCTGTGGGCAGACGGGGGAGAAAGAAGTCAGAGTGGGAGTTCAAACCATGGGAAGGAAAGCCCAGGGGCTCACTGTCACAGCATCCTGCTTACTATGACCAGAGGAACCACTGTCTCAGCACAGTGGACTTGTGAGATTTTGGGAAAGTCCAGTGGTGGCTTGGGCTGGAGAGGTTTCTCTGCAGGCAGCAACATGGCAGGATCAAGGAACCCAGGCCTGAGAGAGAAGGCACCAAAATGCTGGCCCCATGGAAGACCATCACACTTCTGCCGTGGCACAGAGGACACGTGTTCTATCTTTCAGGGTCTCTTTAGGACCTGCTTGTTTATTGGCATTGCTCAGGTTCAGGGCAGAATCTACAAAAGCCAATGAGTAGCAGGCTAACTCTGCCTTTGGGCCGTGAGGATTGAGGCAGCCAGGGTATGCTGGACTCTCAGGTGGTCCCAGATTTCAGAGGAGAAGTGGGAAAAGGCTTTGATGACCCTCTCTGGCTTATGCTCCAGAATAACTGGCATTATGTACTGTTCAACTCGCACAATTCTGGGGGAAGGAACCCTTTGAAGAACTCAAGTAGATAGCAATTCACATTTACATAGTACATCAGTAAGCTGAGATTTTTCCTTGGGTTTCTAAAGTTATCTCAGGGTTTAAAGAAGGCTTATAAAGCTGCAAAATTGGGTAATAATCACAGCAGCTTACACTGCCAATCTCTTGTGGATGAAAGTGCAGTGCTTTTCTATCCATCCCTCAGGTGGAGAAAAGGAGGCCTTGGAAGATGAAGGCACCCAGGTCCTCTGTGCTGCCGCCAGGGTCAGGTGTTAGGTGATCTAAGGCCTAATTTCGTAAGGGCCCTCTCAGACTCCACTTTCTTCTCAGCCAGTGTTCATCAGGTCCCTTCCTGGATCCAATGGGAATAGTGATCAGAACCAATGACAGCGGTATTTTTCAACTTCAGAGTCCTAGGAACAGGAGTCCCATCCCACAGAAACAGTAAAGGGCTAGGTATCCCCTCTGCTTCCATTAGAAGAGCTGCTATTTTACTTATATTAATAACTGATGTTTTGACTTGTTTGAACAAAGTGGTTAAGAAAACACAGCTCTTTACATTTATGTGGCCTGGCTCTCCTCTGAGTTTGGAGACTCACCAGGGATGGTAGGAGGACTCCCAAGCGAGCTAACCGGCATGGCCCCACTGGGGTGTGGGGAGTTCCAAAGGCCTGAGAGCTTATGTGCTGACAGGAACGAGCTGGGATCCCAGTCCCCTGAGTTCCCGTGGCAGGAGGACGAGGATGAGGACGATGAAGAAGAAGACGAAGAAGAATGAGAGTCACCCCCACAAGACTGTGATTTGCAGGATGTGTGTGACAAGGAGATCTGGAGAAGGGGGAAGAAAAAGGCTTATGGTGAAAGAGCACACATCAGAGCTGACCCTCTGCTGCCTAAACTAACTTACCTCCTCCAGGCCCCTGTGCCATGTGGCCAAAGCACAACTCCCATAACTCCAGGTACAAGGGCAAATTCTGGCCAAACATTTGCCAGGAGGGGCTGTGGTACCCCTGATGAAGTGAAGGGTGTGGATACTAGGGAGAGAGACTGGTAGGGGCAGAGACTGACTGCCTGTCAACTGTGGGTCTTTAGGGAGTCCTGAGAGCTGCCAAGGAGAGCAAGGGCCTTCAAGTCAGGAGTCCTGAAGCTGTCTGGTCCTGGGTAAAAGAGAGGGGCTGAAGGAAAGTCTGGCCACTGTGATTCAGGAGATGGCACTTAAGATGGCTCTCAGGCTTCTGGGAGACTTTCTAACTGAGGCACAATACAGACTCTCAAGCTGACCTTTGCCCTCCACATCATACTGGTTGGCTTTCAGCTGCCACAGAGATGACGGCAGCAAGATGACATGGAAGGGGCAGGATCTCGATCTACCAGAACCTACAAGCTGGCCCTCACAACGTGCACAGACTCTCCTTAGGAGCCAGTGGGCCGCCTGCAGCCTCTCTTCTTTCCCCAACTGTGAACCCAAACCACCAGTGTGTGGATACAGCCCAGCTGCCTCTCAGCACCTGTGCGCAGCAGCTGTCCAAGGAGAGCCAGCTAAAGGGAAGGAACAGCTCAACAGCCAGACTTCTCTGGGCAGGCAGCCTTCCTGCATTCAGAGACCCCTTCTCAGCGGTTACCTACCGCCACTGCATGTTCTCGACCTGTCTGCCTTTCATCTTCCTCCATGCTCTTTCGGCAACTCTGGCAGACCCATAGAGGCATCTCGCCTAGGAGATTCTTGACGAGCTTTGGCATGAAGTCAGGGGGCAGCTTCTCACCCTGCAATACCAGTCCGTTTTGGGAAGGGCCTTCTTCCCAGCCTTTGCGTTCCCGATGACACAGCAGGCAGCAAGTCTGCACAGACTGGCTGGAGGTGGGGGGAACCTGTCCAACAGACAGAAACAGGGTTTCCCAGGAGGAGAAAGGCTCTGCTTAGAAATAATATTCATGCTACTAATAATGTCACTTATTACGTGCCAGGCACTGGGTTAGGCACTTCATATGCACAATTTTAGTTACTGTAACAGCTCTGCAAACTAGGTGTCATTCCCATTTTTTTTAAAGATGAAGAAACAGATTTCAAGAAATCAAATAAGTTGCCCAAGGTTATAGAGCTAGTGAGTGGTAGAACTAGGATTTGAACCCTTTCAGGCTGACTCCAAAGCTTATGCTCAAAGTCCTAATGCCCCAATGTCCCCAAATCTTGAAGGTTAATGAGAAGATGGCCCTTCCTTCTTTGGAATGTCTGGGACAGGCCGCAAATTTTGGATTGTCTGTGCAGTCCACAGACCAATGCCATCTGGGAGGAAAAAAATGCTTTCAGTTAATGCAGAGTTTGGGAGAGTATGTGGGTTTCTGGAAAGCTGCACAATTCTATTAGGATCACAGCAGCATTCTGGAGGAGGGGTTTGTATAGTTAGTCAAAAAGCATCAACTCATCTGGAAACTGTGTTGGAGATAAGGTAAGGCAGACCTTGGTGCTTCTGAGAGGCAGTGAGGTGTGGTGAAAAGAAGTTGGGCTTTGGGCACCAGACCGACACACATTCTAATCCCTGCCTGGCCTGCCACGCATTAGCCAGGCGACCTTGAGCAAGTTATTTAATTTCCCAAGCTCTGACTTCCTACCTACCTTGTAGAGTTGTTATGAGGCTCAGTGAATAAACAGGGAAGTGCCTAGCCCTGTGCATGTCCATAGCACAGGCCCAATACACAGTAATTATAATTTGGACTTTTTTCCTTCTAGGATAAATATGACCTAGAAACATGTCTATAGGTTTCCTGTCACTTTGAGGGGTATGTACTAGGGTACTGATTGATTTAATGACCCCAATTAATGGCTTTTTTTATATCCTGCAACTCTGTAGCTCCCCCCTCTCTCTGAAACTGCGCTTGGTCATGTCACTTTCTTTGGCCAATGGGATGTTAGCCAAGGTGCTGCCAGCATAAGTTTGCAATAATACTTGCTTCCTTGCATGGCTGGGCTTGCTCGCTCGTGTTACTCTGCCGTGCTGTAAGAGCATGATTGGGCTAGCTGCTGGAGAGATGTGAAAGACATGGAGAAAATAGTCTTCCCTGCTGATCAGCTAGTGGATCAGATACATGAGTGAGCCCAGGGTAGAACATCCAATCAACCCAGAGACTCATTAAAAATAATAGTGTTGTTTTAAGCCACTAAGTTTTAGGGGTGGTTTGTTACACACAATAGTTAACTGACATACCTTCCAAACTTACCCACCACTAGGTGACAGGTGTTTGCAGAGGATTAAGTAAAGGATTAAGGACATCATCCTCATCCTACCAATAAAATAAATGCCATCATCTTTCTTGAATAAAATCACCTTCTCACAATACGTTGGCATCAGGGTATCCTTAAGTCTGTAACTGACCTGGGTCTCTCGTTTCTAGAAAGAAAGGCACCAAACAGTAGTACCAAGAAGGAGCATGATAAAACATTTGGGGAAGTACAAGGACCTTGGAAGAGTACAGAGAAAGAGAGGCAGAGAGTGGAACTCACGTGAGATGCTGCCTAAATGGTCTCTGCCAAGGAAGCATTTCAATGAGCAAGGAAGAGAAACTTCACTGTAATTGTAGAAGCATATGGTGTTGAGTATCTCATGGCAAGGGTGGAGGGTTGATGGAGAAGGATGGTGTTCAGAGAAATTAAGGCAATGGATGCCTTTCTGAGAAGTGTACCAGGAAACTTTTGATAGCTATAAGGTGCCACAATAACCCCGGTGGGGAGAAGGTGAAGCCAACAACCAAGTCCCTCTCCCTGTAAAGATAGTGACCATATTTGTAAGGCAAACTCCAGAACATGTAATTTTACTACAATAGAGCTTCCTTTCATTTGGGTGTTAGGTTCTAAAACTATTATATAAGATGAAAATCATGTATGAGTAAAATTATTCTTGAAATTCTTTATATGGCCAATGAAGTACAGCATATATGATTTTGGCGGCATCAATAATTCAAATGTGTAATGTATATGGCAATGCATCGTAAGTGTTTTCCTGTTTCTTTTAAAAGAAAATACAGAATTCTTGTAAATTAAATGTGTGGTCAATGTGACTATACTAGTTGCCAAAGCACTTTTGGGGAATGCTACGGTTAGTGGAAATACATTGGCTTTGGCATTTCCATACCGCTTACCAGCCATATGGTTTTGGGCAAGTTCTACTCTGTCTCCTTATCTGTAAAATCGGATTAAGTCCTGATTTGTGGGGTCGCTGTGAGCATTAAATGTGATAAAGCATCTAGTCTGGTGCCAGACCCATAACACGTTACTCAACATACTGAACTAACATAAACATAATGAGAGTAGTGAGAAATAATATTTAAAATCAGGGCTAGGATTGAAAATAGTTACTGTAGTTTGTAAGAATGCAAGAATCTCTCATGTGTGATGAATCTAAAACATCTTAATCTTTGCCCACAACTCTATGAAGTCGTTCCTTGAGATCCCCCAATACTCTCTGTATTCTCCTATCTCATGCCTTTGCTAAAGGCAATTCTCTGCTGAAAATCCCCTTCCTTTCTACATTTATCAGTAAGAAGTTGGGAGGGGAGCTTAAAGACCCAGCTTGAATCTAACCGTATCCCAGCTTTCCTAGAATCCCTCTTATAATTCACATCTCCTCCCTGCACCTCCATAGCCACTGTGCCTTGGTTACAGCACTTGTACCTTCCACTTAATTTATTTACCTGCATCTTCTGTCCCTTCTAATAGGTTTTGCTCCTAGAAGGCAAGCACCAGTTCTGATTCTTGTCTGGATCCCTCACAGTATAGCACAGGGTATATGCTCAGTTAGGCACATGGTGGCTAAATCTGCTTTGTTAAGTGTCCCTATGACAATACAGCTAGCAGGCAGCTTGGTGAAACAGTGCTCGAAATTATTGCTCCCCACAAAGAAAAGCCATCTTCCCACTCTGGAATTCCACCTGAATGGCTCCAATCCCAAGTGAGGGACAGTGGAAGACTGCATTCCTTAGGAATTACAATGGTATGCCCTATTCATGGAAATAATGTGACTCTTCCTAGAGCCAAACTGGTATACATAATAAATGAGAATAGCCATTAGTGGAAGTGGATTTACAGGACAGACTGTGCTTCCAGTTAAAGGAAGAAACACAGGGCCTGGAAAGCTAGTCGAGTCCTAACTGAAGCTGGGATGATACTGACCACATTGCATAAGGTTGCCCAGAGAATTAAGTGACATCACAGATGCCAAGCTTAGCTCAAGGGATCTACACAGTAGGCACTCAACCTGTTATCTAGACCCCTTAGCTGTTCTGTTCTTAGTAAGACTATACTGGAAATTAGTTTATTCACTGTCCTGAGTGTGGTATACTTGTCCTTCTCTCTAGGCTCAGGAAGGTCTGGGGGCCACCCCCAAAGCTGTCTTAAACACTAAGCCTTGGTGCCTGCCCTTGGGTACAGTGCCCGGTGGAACCTGGGGACTTTTCTGATTTTTTTCTCTAACTGCTGGAGGGTGGTGAGAATCCCAAACCCTGGAGATGTTATGATCAGTCAGCACTACCACAGCTCCTCAAATTTTTGCTTTGGCAGAAATAATAAGTTCAGAATTCCCTTTGACTGCAATCTTCTGCTACTTTCCAGATTCCGGGAGATCATGACCCCTTATGCCCTTAAGTCAACTCAGGCTTTCAACTAGCTGTTCTTATGCTGTATTTTTAGCACCTCAAACAGTATTCCCACACAAGAACAAGATCAATAAATGTACACTGAGTGAATGAAACACCCACCATTTTTCGTTATCACAAAGGCTGATGGATCTGATTCTTAAACCTACAGCCCTCGGCAATGACTAATTACTCCTTTTCACCTGTTTAAATTCGAGATTCAGGTCTGGATACAGACCAGACCTTGGTCTCCAGATATAGGTCTAGCCTTAGGCAAAAGACTGGGGAAGAACAAGGAATGGTTCTAGCGGTTCTTTGGATTTGGGATCTACTCAAAAAAGCTCCAGGGTAATTCTGCTTCACATTCTGAGCAAAAACAGAATCTCTGGAGAGTAGGTCACTCACACAGAGGACCCATGTCTTATGTGTACCCCTAGAGTGGTCCAGGAGTCAGATGAACCACAGACAAGGGCAACTCCTAGCCCAGGAGGCTGTTGTGTGCAGCCACTATAACCAGTATCTCTGCTCCTTCATCTGAACAGGCCCGACTTCTCTGTCTTGCCCGAGAAACATTATGCTAAGGCATTCTAAATTTTCCTGGATAAAAAGAGGTAAAAATCAAAGAAGGGGAATCCAATTTTTTCATGGGACATGGATTTTTACTTGAAAGAATGGTAAAAACTATGGTTATCTGGACTTGGGTACTGGCAGACAATTTCTGAAAAAATATACAAAATGAGCTTCAAGGAAACTTCACGTCAAGCAAAACAACTTTTTATGTGTGGCCAATGATAAAATTCAAACCTGCAGTCTAAAACTAGAATTTTGGAAAATTTGTGTCCACCATCATGAGCTTAACAGCTTCCCAATACTTAAAGACTTTTCTGGTGAAATTGGTGGTGATACTAATAAATGTTATCTCTTGATATGTAAAATGAAACAGAGAAACACTAAGATCTGCATAGCTCAGTGAATCTATTTTCCAAATGATCAAAGCATGATGTTACAGAATCATGCATTACTAAAAAATACATTCAAAAGTGCTAGATGGACCAAAGGATTTTAATGTAAATGAGTATAAAGATTTCATTGATATAGGCTCAGATCCCATATTGCAAAGAATATCAACAATCATCTGGAAAGGCCTCCCTTTTCCAACTATGTATCTGTGCCTCAGGATGGCTTTTTTTTATATACTTCAACCAAAACAATGAATTGTAACAGATTGAATACAGAAGCATGCATGAGAATCCAGCTTTTTTCTATTAAGCCAGACATAAACTTGCAAAAATGAAAACAAGACCATTTCTCTCACGACTTTGAAAATAGTTTTATTTCACTAAACAGGTTTAATACTGTTACTCTCAAATGAATTAGTAACTATTTTTAAATTTTCTCTGCTTTATTATTTAATTTGGTAAATATCAATGGATAAAACATACAAAAGAAAGCTCTTCTGAGTCCTCAATAATCTTTAGGAATGTAAAAGAGCCCCAAGAACAAGCACTTGGGAGAACTGCTGATGTAAAGCATCTAACAGTGCTAACAGCACCTGTCACCCAGCAGGTGTGCAGTAAGCAATAGTGATGAACAACAATACAGTTCAGAGCATATCTGGATAGCTGTTTTGGGGTATGAATAAATTTTCCATGTCACCTTTCTGTCCGAATTTGGGAACTGCTGGGGAATAACCCAAGGTCACCAGACCAGGCAGTATTCAAGGACTGTTCTGAAGTTGGATCTAATTTCCAGCACTAAACCTGGCTCTCATTCCTCTCATGGATTCCTTTCACTTGCAAGAGTTCCAGTATGTTTGTAGAGGGTTCCCGCAAGACACATGCTGTATCTACCCAGCAGCCCTGCAACAGCTTCAAAAATTTACTCTGAAATGGCCCATTAGAGCACTCTACTCTCGAGGCAACCAACTCCCAAGAGCCTCCCTGTCACCAACACAGGCAGAGGACAACAGTAGCAGGTAAAGTTCCCTTCTAGAAGCAGAGAAAATGATTAATCCTCAGCTTAGAAAAACTCATCAGCTCAATCATCATTCACTCTTCTGTTCATCCATTCATCTCTTCACCCAGCAAAACACTTTCAGAGCCCCCACCTGGTGCCAACCATTGTGCTAGGTGCTAGGAAACATCAAACAATAGAATTCCTGCCTTAAAAACACATGCTTAAACCAGGCAGGTTCATGCCTCAGTTGTCAATGCTCCCCAACTCCCATATATGTTTTGGAGAATCAGGCAGGAACACAAATTAAAATTATACACAATTAAAATCAATGCACAAATTTAAAAAAACTAGAATGTTGTGCTTCTCTACCCCATGTAAGCTTATTATGTGCCTTTTCCATACCTATCCAGTTTGAGGATCTTCCTTTAGCTCATCTTTCCTTCCTTTCTGGTCGAGCTCACTACCATGGCAATCTCTGTCCCAGCTGACTTCTCTATGCTCCACTTCCACACTTAACACCTGAGAATCTTAGGTTCTATTCCTATTGTTCCTCAGATACATCCTAGCACCTCAGCTCTACTTCTTGGCAAACTACTACTCATCCTCCAAGATCTTGGCCAAAGGTCGAAGCAGCTTTTGCTGGGCCAGAATAAGCAGAATTCAATCTTTGAGTACAGAACCTATCACAGTGTGCCATAGATATATTCTGTCTGCCCCCAAACCCTTGGTAGAATGAGCACTCTTTGGGGGTAGGGGGTGCATCTTGGTCATTTAAGCGTGCCCAGGAAACTAGGCTTGGCATGGGCCTGGCACATAGCAGACATTCATTGAATAAATGAACAAATGCTTCAAGCCCCTTTGGTTCACGTCTCAGCTGCTCTACACCAAGGATAGAATCTAAGACACAGATGAACCAACCCTTTCCTGCTAAGGAATGACTGCATCACTTCAGGCCGCTGATGAGAGGGCATCAGTGCTAAGAATCTCAGATACTTTTAATGCTGGCATCAGGGCTAAATTCTTAGGGAGCTGATGTAACTGCACCTTAGTGCCCTAAAACTTTCACTCAAACTCCTACTCAGGCTGTTGGCTCAGGTCCTTCCAAGAAGGACAGCTGTTTCATACCATTAAGCCAGTCTGTGGAGAATCCTCTCTGGTTGTACAAGCTGAGTCAAGGATGGGGCAGTGAATCTCCCTGACTCCAAAAGCCTTCCACCCCACTGAGGCTAACTCATCTGTTGGACCTGCTTTTTGGGAGCAGTCACAGGAAGGCCTAAACTGCTTCTTATTAACCTGGAATCTCAGGTGAACAATGTTACCTACTACCCTGTAACCCTAGAACAAATTTCTCATGGGTGGAAGAGTATAAACTTTGGAGATAGAGTATTGTGGTTCAAATCCCAGTTCTGCCATTTTCAGTATGATCTTGGATTATTACTAAATTTCTTTGAGCCTCAATTTCCTCATTTATGAAATGAGAATAAAACCATACTTCACAGAGTTGTGAGGACAGAAGGAAATAAATCATGTAAAGTACCTGGCCTGGGCCTGGCACACAGTAGGTGCTCAATACCCGTTAGTTTCTTTCCTCTTCTGTCCTGGAAGAAATGACAGGGAAACTTACTAAGTGAGACTTGCCCAATCCAAAGTTATTACTTGAAGCACAGGACAGGACTAGACAGGTGACCTCCAAGGCCTCTTTGAACCCCCCAGTCCATGCTCTCTGCTACAACTTCCTAGTAAGAACGTTTGGTGTTTCAGACCCCTTCTTTCTGTCTTAGTTTCCCTGTATCACTTTGCAGGGTATATAAGGAGATCTATTCATTTCAGAATGTACAGGGAAACCCAAAGGAAGCTGGATAGCTGAAGGCCTTGGGTAAAGGGGAGATGGTGTATAAACTGCAGCATGTTCATGAGCTTAGTCTGAAGGGCATGGTGGGAGCACCGGCACAGAACCAAAGGATGCAAACATGTGGCTTTTCCCTGGACATGAGTCTGCTTCTCCTCACTCTTTCTCTGCTCTGCACATCCTGCCATGAAGAACCATTAACTATTCCATCCACCAAATATGTAAAGCACTTGCACCCTCACCCCTGCTATTCCTTCTGCCTCTTCCTTTTTTAGGCTTAGTTTGGGTGTTATATTCTCCTAAGTTCACAAGCAGAATGAACTGTGCTTTGATTTGGGATGCTCTAACACCTTTTTTTACAGATCTCTCAAATAGAGCTTATCTCATGTATCCCAGTTGTTGGTACATACTCTACAACCCTGAGCTTTTCAAGGGCAGGGCCTTGCATCCCATGATTCACTGCATCCCAGCTGTTCAGCAGAGGTGTCAGCATATAGTAGGTAGGCAAGGGTAAGTGTTTTGATATACAATGGAAGACTGCCAGTTAGAGAACATCACTAATAGGGCAACAACAAAACTGGCAGGCACCCCCCTTTTTTTAAACTTAAGTTGTTTCTATTCCTCCTTATTGAAAAGCTCCTTCCTAGGAAGACCCACTGTTTGAAGAATATCCTAGGCCTCCACAAAGATCCCCACAGCACCCTCAATTCAGCAGTTCCCAGACCCAGCTACACACCATAATCACCTGGGGCAATTTAACAACAACAGATTCCTGGGCTGCAGACCTAAAAATTCTGATTCTGTAGGTCTGGGGCAGGGTCCAGCAAAGCATAGGAGATCTGTTATTTAGTTAGGCTGGGGTGAGGAAGAGCAGAAATCAAGCAAGCACAGCTGCCTCTATCATAGAGAACTTCATCCCATGCTATCAGAGAGTTTACTGAAGTCTATTACATTCACTTTCTTACTTAAAGTCTTTCATTGATCCCTCATTGATTATAGGATAAAACCCAAACTTCTTGGTGTGGTTTTCAAGAACCCCGTTAACCTCTCCAGGCTGACCTCCTGCCACTTTCCAGAGTCAGACAGTTCTTGCTTCTGGGTCTTTGTTTATGTTGCTTCCTTTGTTTAGACTCTTTCTCCAATCTTTTACTCTGGAGCAACTTCTACTTGGCTTTGAAGCCTCAGCTCTGAGAAGCCTTCTCTAGGCTATCATGTTTGTGCATCCTCAGCACCAAGCATCTATAGTAATCAGAGACACCATATGTGCTAAGTGCTTGACACCCTAATATTGGCATCACCATTATCTTATACGTGAGAAAACAAACCAAAAGGCTGAAACACTTCTGAAAACCACATACTAGATTCAAGGACTTGAAACTTAACTCACAGGCAGCGATGCTCTTCCAGCCTAACTGTAGTTACTACATACACGTTCTCCAGACCATGAGCCCCCTGTGGGAAGGAAGCATGTCTGATTCACTTCTGCATCTCCAGCTAGCCCAGGGCCTGGCAGATTAGGTGTCCATTAGTGTCTGCAGAACAGATGAACGCCAGCTCAGATGAGAAGACTGCTCATGGTGTGTGTGCAATGGGCCTACATGAATGACTGCCACCCTGGCCCAGCATTAGGGGCAGGTAAGAAAAAAGTGATAGAAACCTAGCTTATTATTTTATTATCATTTAACAGCCATTTATTGAGCACATAAGGACCATGCACAATAAATACCCCAGAAATGAATTAAGCAGCCCCTGCTGTCAAAATTCTAGGCTCTGTAAAGGTGTTAGGATCTTAATAGTTCATCTGCTGTCAGACATTAAGCTTGTAGCTCTGGAATATTTTAAGGAAATTAAAATTAAAAAAATCTTAGTGGTTAAATCTTCATCTTCAAAGGCCTTTTGGCATTTCTACATAGTGAATCTCTACTGGCTTACCAAGAACCAGAGGTGGCAGGGATCTCCTTTCAGTTATAATTTCCTCCTACTTACAATGAGTAGCCAGGCTGGGTGGGTGGTGATGTTCAGGGGAGGCCCGTGGCTATAGGGACTATCTTATTCATCTGTATGCCCCAAATAAAATCCTGACACAGAGGCTGCAATGCATGTTGAGTGGATAATAAAACAGTTTTAATAAAGATACTGACTGATCATCTGCTCCAGGCCCTTGAGGGAACAGGTTTAACTCTGAGCAGTGGAGGTACCAGGTCTCTAGAGTCCGTTTAAACTAGGCTGGGCAAAGTCTCAGGGGATGCTGTAGAGAGATCAGAGATGGGAAGGGCAGGATGAGCTCAACCCCCACCAACTGCTGGTTTATAGTGTAGGGAGTCTCCTGGGGTTTATGGATTACAAGCTGAGTGGTCCAAGAGAGACCTAAAGACAGCTAGCAGATCTGGCAGGTGAGAACCCTCATGCTTTGGGTGGCCATCTGGCACAGCTACTACCCACACCACCTCCAGCTCCTGCTCTTGCCTGAGGAGCCTTGCTGGGCTAGGTGCTATGTGGGTTGCTCCACATTCTCCTGTGATGTTGCTAAGGAGGGTGAGAGAGGGGAAGAAACATGCCAAGCCCAAAACCAGAAAGAGACTGAGCTTAAGAGTTCACCTCAAGTCTGTAAGACTAAACACTATTTCTCACTGCTCCTTCAACTGCTTTGTTGCTTTTTCTTTGCTAATAAGTCAATAAACCGTTTTAGTCTCCTTGTTTAGTAAACGAGGAATTGGGTTCTTAGTGGACAGATCAATGTAATTTAGTGGCCTAAAACAATCGAAGGACTTTGGGGATCCCAGTTAACCTCAAGGTCCTGTATTTAAATGTATAAGGTTATGCAAATAACGACAGGCACGGGGTGGAATCAGAGTGGCCTATGAACCTTAACTCAGAGGAAGGGATGCTCTGTTAGCCTTACTGCGATTATATATGTATGTTCTCTGGACGATGAGCCCCGTGTGGGCATTCACTTCTGCATTCCCAGGCAGCCCCAGGACTGGCGCAGGTCAGGTATCCTTCATACGATAAAGGGCACACATTACTCAGAGACTGCAGAGTACTGCCTCACAGAAATAAGGGCCCAGCGGCACCAGGTTTTTAGTTTTAAGAGATGGCATAGTTCCAGTTTTGTGGGAAACCTTTTGGTTTTTAAAATATTGGCTCAAATCAAAATAAAACCAAAACAATGTGTGACTTGGGACATCAGAACCTGTCTGTGGACTGCAAGTGGTCCTATCTGCTGTTCTTTGGCTTCAGTTCAGCACATGACACTGAATTTCACCTTACTTACTACCCATTCTGTGTACGTAAGACAAGGGTATAAGTGGCTGTGGGAACCAGAGATCCTCCTCAAAGGCACACCTGTGAATGACTGACCCCAACCCTTTCAGCAGGTGCTTTTCACCAGGGCACAAAAGCCTGCTTCTGCATCCAGAACCTCCCTCCACAGCCAAAAAGCTGGGACACAATGAGAGCAGAATCTGTCACTTTGTTTCATCTTTGTGGCTATTGTAAAAAAAAAAATACCTTGTTAAATCCACCAGAGCACACAAGAGTGTCCTTTGAGGGTGGGGGAGCTGAGACCTGTAATGGGAGTTATTTGGGCAAATGTTTAGTTGTGGGCAAATGTTTAGTTGCTTTGAGTTTCTGTTTCTTCATCTGAAAAACAGGGGTAATAGTATTTTTATCCTTCAGTTCATTCATTAACATTTGTTAATCACCAGGCATAGGGGTACAATGGTGACTGACTGACATGGGTTCTTACACTCTCAGAGTTTATGTAGTAAAAGCAGACCAATAATTCCACCAAGTTAACTCATCACATTGTGCTTAAATACTAAGGAGAACACAGCAGTGGTGGGAAGATTAGAAGATATGTAAAGTGCCTGGCATGAATAAATGAATGAATTGGCAGGTCAAACAGCAAAGTAGATAAGAACATGGTAGGAACCTACCATGTTAATAAAGCCTATTGCTCTTAGGGAAGTTGTCCTAAATAAAAGCTAAATAGTTAAGCCACCCTTCAAACTTTCTGGCCATGAATATTGTAAGCTGACTAAGTGGCAAGCACCTTCAGGGTTGGAAATCAGACCAGGTGAAGGGGGAATCCAACTTGGGGGGGTCACATCCTTTGGAACCAGTCTCAGCCCGGGGTGTGGGTGAATGTGGGGCTTCTGACACTCAGTAAGTGGTGACATTTTCACTAATTAAAAATCTTACTGTGATCTGAGACACAAAGGAGACCAGCATCAAAACTGTGTTACGATAAGAACAAGTTCTCAATGGATTCATTCTCTCATCTCAGTCTCCTAGTTATTTCTACTCTGTGTCAGGGTGTCGCAGGGCTAGGTGTGGAGGACTAGAGAAAGATGACATAGTCTGTGCCCCTGTGGAGTTCACAGTGCGGTGTGAGGAACAGACATATCAACAGAATGCCTCATCACAGAATGGGGAGTGCTAACAGAAAGGAGCACAGGGGGTTGTGGGCACAGAGAGGGCACCTCACACAACTGGGGAGGTCAGGAAAGGCTTTCTGGGAATGGTACCCCAAAAGGCATCCCCACTCACATGCACAATTCCAGAGATTCTACTAGAAGGCTGTCAAGAGCCATGCCTTCTGGCTGCACCAGCCTCCCAGAGTCCCCTGCTGCCCGATGCAGTGTCTGCAGAGCCAAACGCATCTTCCGCCACGCCTCATCCTCATCCGGCGCTGTATCCGACCCTCCAAGACTCCTGCAGGAGCCTGCCTTCCTAGGCAGGCTCAGCCAAAAGACCAACTCAAACTCTTTTGTCAGAGCAAGCTTAGGGCGAGCCACCCAGCCCCAGGTGCTACAACCCTCCCAGAGCAATTGTGGCTCATGCCATCCCGGCCTCTCAGTGAACACTGGCAGAGTACCTCCCATTATCTTCTTTGCTCGAAACAAAGTGACCTTCCTCCAAGTGGCAAGCTGGAAGCTTTGGAGAGCCCTCCTACCGCTCTCAGCAGGATTCGCCAAACCCAGGGACTTGAGGGTCGCGAGCGGCCTGCCTCGGGGGTCAGGGGTACAGAGGGGAGAAAGGGCGGGCTCTGTTGGGTTTCCACCTCAGTGCGGGAGCTCCACCAAATAGTTTTCTGGGCGGCCTGTCTGCTCCAACTACTCTGTTGGCAGGGTGAGGAGGGAGGCCCCAGGAGCTGGGGGCACAGCTGCTGAGGGGGCAGTGGCTGCAGGCAGCGAGGGGAAAGGGTGGAGCCGCCTCCGTGGGGAGAGGGAAAAGGCTGCAGCCTTCCAGCCCCAGCGCCCTGAAATGGCCTGTGGGTGGGTTAGGGGGCAGGTGGGCCCGGCGGGAGGTGGAGGACAGAGAGCTGAGCTGTGCTCTCCGGATTCGGGCCGGTACCAGTGTGGGTGTGCGACCAGAACGTTCAGCCTCTCCTCCGGCTGCAGGCGCTGGGAGAGGACAGGCAGCCTGGTCTCAGGAGGGCAGGACAGGCCGTGCCTCGGCATTGGGGAGAAGGGTCTGGCCTTCACTCCCGCCTCGGGGGAGAACGCCTCGGCCACGGCCCTGGGGGAAAGGCTCCGGCTCCAGCCGGGAGAGGAAGGTCTATCCCCAAGCCCGCCCCGACCCCGCTCCGGGAGGTGAAAGCGCCGGAGCAGCCGGACTCGCTGGCTCCTACCTGAGGGCCGGGCGCCAGCTTGAGCTCGTCCTCCTCCCTGGGGCTGTCGCGGTCGGGCTCCACCAGCGCCTCTGGGGGTCCTGCTCCCGGTCCCGCTTCCAGGCTCGGCGGCGGCGGGGGTTCGGGCGCCTGGGGCTTCTGCGGCCCCGCGGCCCGCGCCCGATCACGGCGGCCCGCGCCGCCGCTTGGCCTGCTCCGCCTCCGAGTCATGCTGCTGCTCGTGCCGCTCCCTCGCACCTCTCGCACCACTCGTGTTGCCGCCTCCACCACCGCCGCCGCCGCTCCCCTCACAGGACAACAGCCAATATGGCGGCGCCCGGCTGCCCGTCCATCGCTGCCAGCAGGTCAGAGGGCATGCGGAGTCTGCGCCGCCGCACTAGCCCCCCGAGGCTGCCTGCGCCATTTTGAATAAGGTCGCCACCCGGAGTTCTGAGGGAGAAAAACTGGTGGGGTGACGCCCTCTCCATCACCGCATCCAAGGGGTGAGATCTGCGCTAGGAGAGGGTGTACGCTGTGGTAACCGTGCCGCACTGCTCTGAGAGCTTAGTAACTGCCTGTTAAATAGATGAATGAATGAATGAATTTCTAGAGTGCTACAGCAGTTTCACACCCATCATCTGACTTCTCACTCTCACACGGCGAGGCTGCTACCCTCGTTCCCATTTTGCAGCAGAGAAAATCGGGGCTAAAAAAGGCGAAATCGTTGTTCAACAACGTTCAGTCGGAACTCGTGGATGGCGGTAGCTGAAAGGGACGAAGGAATCGGCTAGGTCTTTATTTGCAACGGCTAGGAGGCTCCACTGGGAGTCCAGCGTTCGGTGCTTGGGGACAGTGGGACTCAGACCAGGCTCTTACTCTCCAAGTCTGGTGTAGAAAGTGAAACTTGAACGCACAGTTAAAACCAGTGTGATGAAGATGAGATGACTGGGGCACGTACTAGGTCAGTGTTTCAAAGAGTTATATGTGCAGGAGATTTTGACGGGTACACAAAAGGAACATTACAAAATGTAATAATTATGTATTGTTTAAAATGGATTTTTTCCTTCCCTTGTTTTTGAATGTATAAGACATGCATATGGTACAATTTTTTTTCTTTAAATTTTGAGTGCAATCTGTCTTATGCCAGGGCTAGTGGTAACTGGAAACCATGTAGAGTTGCCATTGATGTACTCAATGGAGCAGAATTCTGACATTAACCTAACTCAGCAAACAAGGGCTATTTTTAGAGAAAGGGCTAAATGGAGAAGGCCTTGTACCTCTCCTTAACTGCCAACAACATTAATGAAAAAATGATACATCATCTCATCATAGGACTTAGATTTGAAATCTAATTTGAAAGCTTCAGGGTGACTTCCACTACATCAACATTACCCCTTCACTTACTGCCAGAATAGAAGATAGTTGGTATTTTTTCTCATTTATTTACTTTTATTGTGGTGAGGTATGCTACTGTCTTAACCATTTTTTTCAGTATTTTTATTTATTTATTTATTATTTTTACAGTATTTCTAATCACATTTTTATTTTTGTTATTATTATTTTTTATTTTTTATTTTTTTGGTATCATTAATCTACAATTACATGAAGGACATTATGTTTACTAG